AGTATAAATTTAAGTTGTGCTTTTAAATATCAGGGTAATTAAATAAATTCATTGGAAATAAATTATTGAGCCAAATTACTTAAACTGGTATATGGGTTCGAGTTTATATGCAGCACTTAAAGTTTATAAAAATTGTGGCTCTTTCTAAAAATCTGTACTACTTTAACCTGATAAGTATTTTTTTCCATCTTTGGATATAAAGATCTAGATGACATTAATAATTGATATACTTGACTATTTAAGTGACATATTAAAATGAAAACTTGATTATCCACTTATGAAACTGGAAGAAACTTACAAATTCAAATTATATTGTACTTTGTTAATCTCAAGAAATGAAATTAATACACTGAATTTACTAATCATGTGTTTCTGCTTGGCAAGTTTCTTGCATTCCCTGTGGTAATGCTAGTTTGTTGATCCTATCTCTGTAATAAAAACAGGAGGTAGAAAACCCCTTTGCAGTCCTAAATGAAGCATTATTAAGAAATTGAAATTTATTCTTGAACATTTGAACTAATAACCACAGTATGTATTTTTTAAGAATCCTTTTCTATTACTTTAAGGAGTCTCAGATTGAAATATTTTCCATTTTCTTTGTTTCTTTTTGGAGGAAAATTTCATCTTTGCTGTGAGATTTCCATGCATCCTAAGAAAACTTATTTCAGTTTTAGTTGTCCAAGTAGTCGTGATTCTCCACTTTCATTTAAATCTAGCTATGGCCCCAATTTTTAAAATTGTGTTTAAATGTACAAGTTTTCATTATTTGAATTTTGCTAGCCATTTCTTGGCTTAAATATTTTTTAATACAGAGAAGTACAGAGCATAGACAAGGAAACCCCCATAATCTCCCTGCAATTCAGCTCAGCTTCAGACAGCTAATGTGTGATGACATTTTTTGAGGACTTCCCATTTGTGTTGCAGTTATGAACAATATCTCCAAGAACCTAAATACAGAATTTTAGTGCTTATCTTTTTTAGGAAAATTTTCGCTGGATCGTTTGTTTATGTTTTTAGTACTCTGCTTCTAAAAATGCTTAAGAAGGACAAATATGAATATGTTTAGTCTTAATATACATTTCAGAGGATTTATTTTTACACAGCCAATGAGTATTTTAGTTTTTCATGTTGATGTCTACCAAACTTGTAGTATATAACAGTGCAGCGTATTCAAATAATTTTTAGCAGACTATTGTAGGAAGAAAATAAGTATTTTCTTAATATTTGACCTTTATCACTTTCTTAATTATATTCCAGCAGGCTATATAATGTACCCAGCAGCACATTGACATGAATGCATAAGTATAGGGGTTAAATTTAAGAGTATTTCAATTTTGTTTTATTATTTAATTTTGCTTCCACAACATTCTTAAATGGAGAACATAAATGGAGAACGAGTTTAAGAGGCAGAATACACTATTCAAAGCAACTGCATTTTCACCTTTCTTTATGCTCTAAATGCTGCACACAGACATTCTGATGCATATAATGAGAACAAAGGATTTGAAAGCATTCACTTAGAAATCTTCCTCTTTTTTCTTTGTTGCAACAATAATTCTATATATTGTTTCAGACAACTTAAACCAAATCCAATCAGAATAACTCAAAATATTTAGAGATCACTTTTAAAAATATCTTTCTGCATTTTGCAACCAATTCTTTTGAAAAGCTGTTCTGTATTTTATGTCTTCTAAATCTGTAAAGTGAGAATTATAAATGTTCTAGGAAAAATTCATCTTATTCCTTCTCTAATATTTTCTCCCTCATGATAATTTTATATAGTTATCATATAAATGGTATGTAGTTATCTTAAAGTGAGAGAAATTCCACTTATTTTTAAATGATTGTTGAATAGTTTAGTTTATTGTTCTTTAGTTAATACAGCTCTGTACTCTAAATAGTAAAATCAACTACCAGGATAGAAAGCACTGATGGTAATTTTTGAGGTTATTAATTTAGTTTCCCTGGCTGAAAGTTACGTATCAGCACCAAAAAAAAAAAAAAAAAGGGAAGCAATTTTAATTCCTTTTAGAAAATTCCCTTATGTTATAACTTAACTGATTGAAAATTATCTTTAGGAAATATCCCACACCCTTACCCTTGGGAAGAAAGACAACTGCTTAAAATATTTTGTCTTCTAATTATGTTAAAAGGAAATGTTGACTTCCTTGGAGCACCTCACAAGCCTTAGCAGGGAGAGAGGTGTGTGCTGAAAGGTTCTCCATCCCACACTGTTGGGTTTTGAACAAAGGCAGAAGTGTATTTCAGAATATGTGTATATGATGCAAAAATAATCCGTGGAATGTACAGTCTGTCAATTATTAGTCTGTACAAAAGATTCCTGTCAATGGCATTTTTTTCATCTTAGTTACCTATACTAACTGGCTATTTTGATGAATTAGATAAACAAACTGCCAGGCAAATTACACTTCATTCTCTATATTGCTCCATATAAATCAAATAATTTGTATAACATATCTGCAGGCATTATGCAATTTTTCTGCATATAGCAATATATTCAGCATATAGCAACATATTCCTCATAACAGGTTGCTTGCAAGTTTGAAGGCAGTTTTGTGGAAACTCTGGGTCCCTTTTTAACTTTTCCAGTTGCACCCTCCTCCACCATCCAAGCTTGCATCATTTTTTTAGTTACATTGAGAGAAATGCCTGGAGCGCAGGTGGACAGCAGTTGCTGTATAAACTGCAAAGAGACTTGAGTGGCCAAAAGCCTTGCCTAGTCCGCTGTCTGGTAGAAAAGGACTTTGTCATTGACAGGTAGTTCTCAATAGCAACTTTCAGCTCATAGCACAGATAACTCCAGGTCAAAGAGATATTTCATTAAATGTATGTTTTAAATGTTTAGCAGACAATTTTTTATTTGTTTTGCCTGAAGAACAGATTTTTCTGAGAGTAAATTTCATTTGTCAAGCAAGGACTTACTTTCCTTTGGGCTTTATACATTGTATTATTTTTATATTTTTGTGGTATGGTGACCATTTCCTATATGAATAATATCCTAAATTATTTTTGGGGGAATGGATAGGGGAACTAGGTATCTATATATATATTTTTTATGGATATAACTGTAGTCTGATCTTCCATCTGTTTTGTCTACACAATGATAAAAAGCAGCTGTCTCAATCTAAAAGGCCTAGGGAACTGGGTGATAGAGAGAACTCAAATGATGTTGAGCACCTACTAAGTGCTAGACTAAATACAAGACACCTTCTCTTAGCCCATTTAATTAGTTGATAGCCAATAATTTGCTCAACAAAATAGAGCTTTATAAAGGATGTCCGAAAATGTTTTGAGCACTGTTGTAAATGTTTTCATTAATATTCTTAGCAGGCCCTAAATTTTATTTTTTCCCCAGTGGGTCATTGTAATAATGCCAAGTGAAAACAAGCAAAAACCTATGTTTAGTACACTGCATAGTGCCATTTTAAAAATACTTAGAAAAAAGAATTATAGAAGAAAATACAGCTAAAAATATATGATTATCTGTAAGAATATACATGATTTCTGGTTTTTTTCTGTATAGCTTTCTAGGTTTCTGTATCACACATGTATTTTATAATCAGAAATGAGTTATAAAAAGTACATAAAGAAAGTAAGCTTTGTGTTCCTGAGTTTGAGAATAACCTTTCTAGTCCTGCAAGCTAACAACCAGAAGAATTTGTATTGGTTATGGCCCCAGACTTGCATTAGCTGTGGTTGCAGGAGAATGCTAATATGTACTTCTTGTATTCAGCAGTCTATTGAAATATTTTTGTTGATCTCCCTCAATGCTTTGTGGTGATAAATTCCTATACCTAATCTAGATGATTTTGAATTACATTGAGTTAGGATTCCTTGGTATCAGATATACAAAGAAGCAAGATTTTATTAAAAATTCAAATAAGCTAAATTAAATACTGAGTTAGAATTACATTTCAAACACTAAGTGAATTCACTACTCTCTTAATCCACATCTAAATGAGAATTTATGGTGAAATCCAAATTTTAAAGGCTACTAAAGTAAGATATTTGACTTTTTTCTCAATAATCTATGTATAGAAAAAAATGTATTGTTTCTGTATGTTAAAAGAAATGCTAAGGTGTATTGAAAGGCCTATTTGGGCTATTTTGGGAATCAAAGGAAGACACGTAAGAAACAGCTGATGGATGGGAAAGTGTAAAATTTTTGAGAATTCTGGTTTTTGGTAATGCCATATAATGGTGGTAGATAATTACAGTGTTTCTTTGGATGAAATTGTCACCATGTCATCAGTTAAATAAACTGTGAGGTAATGAAGTAGAACACTGACAACTGACCTGTTTTGTATTTGTGTGACTTCGGAAAATGGATTGGTAAATCCTGTGGATGCTAAGAACCAAAAAGTGTTACACTGTCAACTTGAGAAAAACTTTGAAAAAGGAACATTACATAGTATCTATTCAAATGTTTTATTTTTCCATAGTTCTGAAAGGATACTCAGTCTTGCTTTGGGTTAAAAATACATTTCAGCCTCTAACCTGTATACACATTCATTTCTGCTGATGACAGGTGACAAACTATACTTCGCTTTATTGTGTGGTAGCCCTTCTATATGCTTATAAATTAGCTTTTTTTCTTCTCTAAATACACCTTTTTTTTAATTCCCTTCTTTCCCCTTAATATCCTTGACTGTCTAAATCTGTACAGTACAGTAGCCACTAGCCACAAGTGCTATTTAAATATAAATTAATAAAAATTAAATATTTCCAAAATTCAATTCCTCATTTGCAATAGCCACATTTCACATGCTTAACAGACACATGTGACTAATGGCTGCTGAAATGGACAGCACAGGTTGCAGAACTGCCCAGCATTGCCTGAAGTTCTCTTTCATCGTGCTGACCTAAATTGTCAGAATAATTTAAAAATTCTTTGGGCATGTTTTCTGTATCTTGGGGTATGCTTTTATTGTCTCACATTTATCTCTTGCATTATTTCATTTTATCCTTTTGTTTTGCAGTTTAAAAGGATGCTGAATCGGGAGCTCACCCATCTCTCTGAAATGAGTCGGTCTGGAAATCAAGTGTCAGAGTACATATCAAACACATTCTTAGGTGAGAATAACAATTAAAATGCAATCAAAAATTTTTCTTTAGAATTACTTGTTTTGGGAGGTGAACTGGGCCATCAACTCATTTTTGGAAACCAAACACGTGTTAGGAATTCCATTGTTTTCACTTTAGAATCTTAAGGTGACAAAGTACTTTTTTATCTTTTAGTTCCATTCATTATTTTAGAGATGCTCTGAATTAAAGTTGTATATTGCCAGTTTTTCCAGAGTACTGAACTGAAATATGTATTGTATAAAGGTCTAGGCATGCTTTCAATAAATTCTTGTTAAATGCCAGCCATTACTAAGCACTAAGGATTTAATGGAAAGTTAGAAAACAGTCCCTGTCTTCAATGAGTTATAGTCTAATGACACCAAGCCTGGTACATCGGTGACGCTAGCATAATAATTGCTAAAGAAAAACTCGTTGACAATAAAGCTGATATTATGGGGTACTGGGTCAGCACCACCCCCACCCTCCAGCTGCAGAAAGAAAATACAATAAGTGAAAGACAACTTGAACATATCCTTGGTTTGAATTCACTTTCAAAACAAAATTACTCTAATACCTAATGAGCATATTCAGTAAACGTTCACTGCAGGGAACGCACTGCCTTAATACAGTGGGGGACTGTACTGAGCCATCTTAAGTCATTTATTGGAAAACAACAATTGAATCTGATATTTACCTGTCAGATAATATTGCAGATTCTCTGTGCTGCCCTTGTTACATCACAATGCTTATCTCACTATAGTATAGAAAATATAAAATAGCAGAAACCATGTAAGTCATTCAGATATGCTCTTTATACTCCCCCTTTATGACCTATGTCAGTAAGCTGCTAGGTTCACACACTGCTGTTTTTACGATATTTGCTTATGAAGTTTCTGCCATTTCATAGAAGGTATTGAAGGCATCCTTAGTTGACAAGAGCAGTTTTCAAGCCACTGAGTGAATTTGAAATAAAGATAGAGTTGATAAACACTGGAAATAACCAATGTCTTTTGCTTTTTCTAAGTCTACTATAATTCTTGCAAAAGTTTTTATTATGACATTCTATCAAAGAAGTAACCACTGAATATACTTGATGTTAATTTAATTTGAAGTGGTATTTGTTTGTTTAATTTTGTGTTTCAGGTTATGTTAAGTCCACATCACATTGTAAATACTCCACATGATATTATAACTTCTCTAAAAGAAGGTTTTTTTGGAAACACCCCTCAGAATATATAATGATCAATTAAAATCTGCCCAGTTATACATGTTATAATAAAAAAAAGGCAGAATAGTAAATGTAAAACATTTTCTAAATCTTTCTTAAGATAAGCAACATGAAGTGGAAATTCCTTCTCCATCTCAGAAGGAAAAGGAGAAAAAGAAAAGGCCAATGTCTCAAATCAGTGGGGTCAAGAAGTTGATGCACAGCTCCAGTTTGACTAATTCAAGCATCCCAAGGTTTGGGGTTAAAACTGAACAAGAAGATGTCCTTGCCAAGGTAAGATGATTTCAAGGATCAGGATCATAAATATGCAGTGATGCCTTTGAATAAATTTTGATTCCTTCTCTTTTGAATAGATGGAGAAGTTCATTAATTTGTGGGGTTTTGTTTTTGGAAGATGGGAAAGCACTTTATAAAGTGCTTTTTCTAAGTGATTGAGTTTCATTAATAGGTAGATTTAGAGAGGTGGTTTGGTGTGTATGTTCTTTTTTGCATCTTCATTAGATTTGATCTTAAAGAGATAGAAATCTTTTATATCTTCTTGGTCTTAAGAGACCAGATTTTTCTATTAAAGGTTTCTTGTGAATAGATTTTATCTACTGAAGAAATCTTTGAGATTGATATTCAAAGTTTGTAAATACGTTGTATTGTCAAAGGCATAGTATTAAGTAAAATACTCTTCAGTTTTCAGTACATTTAAGTGAGTTCGCCCAAAGTTTGCCTATATTTCTATTGTACATTCATTACTTTTAAAACGAAAATTTTCTTAGATCTAACAATCTTCATTAAAATGAGTAATTTTTAAAAGACTGTGTCCATTGATCATGTTCTACTCCCACCTACTAATTTTTCCTATCTTTCTTTATCCCCAGGAACTAGAAGATGTGAACAAATGGGGTCTTCATGTCTTCAGAATAGCAGAGTTGTCTGGTAACCGGCCTTTGACTGTTATCATGCACACCATTTTTCAGGTAACGTGGTCATGTTCTACCTTTCATTTATTTGGTGACAATGTCCAGTCTGTGAATTCTGTATGCATTTTATTATCTTTACTACTCACCTTCTTTTGCTTATCTTGGTAATTTTTTCTTATTTGCCCCTTTCCCAAGGGAAAAATGATACAGAAAGGTTGGAGTGTGGGTAAAACACAAATAGCCCAATTTTGTTATTTGTTTCCATTTAAAAAAAAGGTGTGATATGGGAAAATTGAAGCATTTCATTAAAATAAGAGTTTAAAAATCATCTACATGACCCTGACACAAATAGAGAGCAGAGTGCTAACTTTAAAAAGTGAGTCAGCCCCTTGCTGACTAACCTTTGAATGCCTTTTCTCCAGTCATTGGTGCACTCTCTCTTCTCCATGTCAGCTTCTCACTCTTGTGGAGCTTTTGCCCCCCACTCAGGGTTAGGATTTAAATGAGGATTTAGAGATACTGCAGACTCCCGCCCTGGAGAGAATGTTGAGTTTCAGGTGGTGTGGATCCAGTGGCTGAGTCAGGGGGGCTGGCCCGACACCCCCTCTGTGATCATGGGACACAGACGTTTTTCATAGTGGGCAGCTCCTACCTGACACCGTACATCCTGGGTTAAGCACTGTTGGGGCCCAGCTGAGTTGACAGTTCAACTCTGGGTTTGTCCTCGAAGTCCCTGAACCTTTGCCAAAGTGTCTGTTTTCCTCGTTAGACATTGTGAGGGTGCTATTTCCACTTCTGGGTTATCCATATGTGACACTGGGTGTGATTTTTTTGGTTAACACTCCCTATGGGAAGTCTTTTCATATAAGGCAAAATGTGAAATGGATTTCTTTTCCTACAGGAACGGGATTTATTAAAAACATTTAAAATTCCAGTAGACACCTTAATCACATACCTTATGACCCTGGAAGACCACTATCATGCTGATGTGGCCTACCACAACAACATTCATGCTGCAGACGTCGTCCAATCAACGCACGTGCTGTTATCTACACCTGCCTTGGAGGTAAATCTGCTTTCTGAAATTTCAAGACCACTCACCCTCCACTCCTAAAGGTCTCTTGAACTTCCATATTGAAGGATCTGCAGGGTGGAAAACAATTGGCTCCACTGAATTATAGGGGAAAACATGTTGTGTGATTCATGAGTGTTTGATGCATTTTTGCCTGTGAAGGTTGATAAAGCATTTGGAGATCATCTGTATGTAACACTGTTTCTTTGAAATGATCTAGTAGACATTTGAGACAGCACATCTGGCCCATTCAGTTTTGGGTAGCTTGTTTTCTAGAATATAATCTGATGGTTTTTGCATTTATAGTTCAAAGAATGATTATATATAAATCATTGATATTGTATATATATAGTAATACATTGATATTTTTATAGAATGTATTAGAAAGAAACACATCTTTAATTTTACCAAATCCTAAGTAGTTCCACTAAGTGTACTAAGACAATTCAGTTTCCTTAATTATTTGGGATAAAGGTTCTCATTGGCTGACATATTTTATAGTTCTGACATTTTTCATTATAAAATTGTATTAGTAAGTCATTTGAATGAATGGTTCTGAACTGGGGGTGGTTCCTTCCTTTTTCTCCTGCCCACCTGTAATCCCCCGTGCTCCCAGGGACATTTGGAAATATGTGGAGACATTTTTGGCTGACACAGCTGGGGAGTACATGCTACTGGCACCTCCTGGATAGAGGCCAGGGGTGCCACTTAAAAATCCTACAGGGCAAAGGATAGCCTCCCACAACAAAGAATTATCTGGCCCAAAATATCTGAGACTGAGAGTCCTTGATCTGAATGAAAGAACAGGAAAACATGGTTCCTATCATTAGTTTTATATAGATTCTCTAAGTATCCCTAAGCATCTTAAATACTTTTAAAGTAAGCTGTTATTTTCTTTTTAAAAATAGTTTGAAGCTTCATTTTGTTCTCCATCAAATTCTAGGAATCAATTTCCCATTGTTTATGCTTTTAATTCATATTAATATTGAAGAATAATGTTATATCCACTGTCTAATTTTCCAGGCTGTGTTTACAGATTTGGAGATTCTTGCAGCAATTTTTGCCAGTGCAATACATGATGTAGATCATCCTGGTGTGTCAAATCAGTTTCTGATCAATACAAGTAAGTGAAGTTCACTTATTTTTGCAGAAAAAAAATTCTGTACTTCACAATGAGGGTGTTTATAAATTCAGAGTGTTTCAAGAGCTACTGTTCTTTTGAGATGTGTAAATATGTGTTGTATTTATAGTGGAAGTTAATGTAATTCAGTTCTAAAAATTACTGTTATATCCCATGAGGGAGGCATACATGATGCATTCCGGTACTTCTCTAGAAATAATGTATTGCCAAGTTATTAGACAGAGTAATCAAAAGTGAAAGTTGGCAGAAAGATTTATATTGCCCCTACAGTTTTAAATAAAAGAAAGAAAAAATATACCAGAAATAATGTTAAACATTCTTCATGTTATGTCGGTTGTTATTTAATCCTCTTCCTAAGCTGTAACTAGTCCCTCCTGCTCCACCACCATGCCCAGCTCTGTTCTTTCCTTTTGAAAATCTCCAACTGAGGGCAATAGGAACTTTTCTTTTGCTTGTTACCTTTTTTTACTTCTCTTTTATTTCAATAATTTTTTTAGCCATTACATTTCTTCTCATCAAGTAAGAAGTCACCACTGAATTTGGAAATATAAGGAGTGGTAGAGACTGCTTAATGAGACATCTCAGACACATAGCTGCACAGGAAACCTCTGTAGGGAATGTTTGGGTGGTGCTTGAGCTACGCCTTTGCAAAGAGGTTTTAGTTTTACAGAAACTCTATTCTTTTGGTACTTACAGTTAATTGCTAAATTATTTATGTGTTATTTAATTTCCTCCCACCATGAGATGAATATTATAAATTCGCTTTTACGTACAATAAAATGCAAAGTTGTTAAAAAATTTTTATATGTATTAAGAATCTTTTTTGCCATCAGTTTGTGGGTAATAGCTTCCATCCTCTGTAGAACTCTAGCTCCAGGAGTATCCATGCATTCGCCATTCATTTCCTATACTTTGCCACAGCCAGATTGAAAGAGAGAATTTAATTTAAATATAGCCTCACTTTGAAAGATTTAACTCAGATCTTTAAGAATGTTTTAAGAAGATCTATTTTTTATATCTTTTAATAGACTCTGGACTACCCATAACAAAGCCTACCTTAGTTACCCACTTACATATAGGAGGATTGGGAAAGTCATTGATTACCTGAGATATATGGTTAGTCAAGTGCATTTTAGAAGTTTGCTTTATGGACTGACTTATTCAGAGTTAGACAGGATAACACTCCACTTTCCAGCTATCTTATGAAAACCTACAATGGGGTGTGCTTTCAGGAGTCATCAAATCATTACTAAATATTAACTCATAGTTATGAATACATGGTAGATGTAGCTACATAAGTTTACATTGTAATGGTGGCTAGGGTGGCCTGAGTCCTTTCTGAGAACAGGGAGGTCATATACTATATGCTGGCATTTTTCATTAGCCTGGCCTGATTTATTATTTTGATGCTTATGCATGTTTTGATATGTTCCTAATTTTATAGATTTTTAATGAACACATCAAAAATGTGTTTTAATTCCATTTTTTTGCCTTCGAAAAAGGTCTTCATTTTTTCATTTAATGACACCAAAAATTCAGATTGGTGTTTTTACATTTCTATCATGTTACAATTGTATGTTCTCTTACTATAACCTTGGAATTAAGAGATTGGAGGACAGACTAAAACAACTGACAATTAAATTACTGTCTCCAAGGACTCTGATAAATTTTTTAGGGAAATCTCAGGAAAAAAGATGGTAGTAGGGAAAATGAGGACCAGCTTGTTATTCTTTCTTGTAGACTCTCTAAGGATAAATGAGTTCAGGATGGCACTGGAGGACTCTGGTGGGTATCAGAGTACCTGGCGAGTCTGAAATTTAAGCCAGCAAGGCCTTAAAGATGGAATCTGATATCCTCCAAAGTTTGAGACTAGATAGGTCTCCAAAAATGGAGAAATTTAGGGGATAATAATCAATTGAATGACAGTGGCTAGCACAATCTAAGGTTGTTTAACTGACCTGCCTTAGGTGGAAGGATAATTAATACTGTTTCTGGAAGCATTTTGTTATTCAGTGATGTGATGATCTCCTTTCTGTGAGACTTCAGCAACACGGGGAGGTTTTGACAGTCCCCAGAGTGGCCTTGGATGGCTGATGTTTTCTTGAGGGTGGGGTGTGAAGAGGCTGTTATTCCTGAGAGAATGAATCAGCAGATCACCTGGTACATGCAAGTATCCAGGGATGATCCAAGCCCCAGGGCACTGTGAGCATTACTTCCTTAGCTTTTTACTAGGGATCATGATAGCAAGCATTTTATTTCAGGACACAGAAGAGGCTTAGTAGCCAGTAACACAAATAGTTTTAACTTCATTGCATGCTATTAAGAAGACCCTCTAATAACTTGTAAAATAGCTTTGTGAAATACCCTGTCAAAATTATGTGGTTATTTTTAGTTTGCAGAAAACCCTTTTTCTTTTATAGACATTAAGTATATGTTTTCTCTTTCTCTCCTGGGTTGGTTGAACATCAGCAGCTCAGACAAGCACATTCACAGCTCTTACCTCGGACCTGGTGCTGCCAGTTGGTCCAAAGCTAAAGTTTGAATCTGTGTTTCTTGTAATAGAAAAGTCTAAAGATTTCTCATCAGCAAATTCATAAACCCAGAGTGGGGAGATAACGTGTCCTGTTTGAAGGAGGCTACAGAGGTTGAGTGAAGTTGCACTGTCCCTCTGGAAGAGCACTGGAGCTATCTGGCTCATTCCCAGGCCAAGTACACCCCTGCTTCTTAGTTGTGATGAGAGTTCCCATCAGTTGTTCCACCTGTGATGGTTTTAGGGGACATGTAATTTGATAATAAATGATATATACACTCATAAACATGCTGGAGGTTTTGAAATTTGAGTTGGTGAATCTGGCAGAATTGGTTAAGATTGCATAAATGATTTGGAGGGATAGGGGAACCTGAATAGGGTTTAAAGAAGTTGAGATTCCAGGTGGGAAGCTACAGACAATACTTGTTAACAAATCCATAAAATGTAAATAGCATCATAAAGCTTTGAATACAACATGCTGAAGGGTACGTATGATTTAAAAAAAGCATTTTGTTTCACAGCATTATTTTCTGAAATGATAAAGCAGTGTCAAAAGTGCAGAATACATATAGCATTCAATTTTACTTGAAAAACAAATAATCTTTTTTTGAGTTTTGGGGAGAAAGATTTACACACATTAGTCACGTGTTCAAAGTATATGGCTTTTGATTTCCAGGAGCAGAAGCATTCCACTGTATTAAAGTGGAGCCAGATTTGGCTACCAGTACATATACTTTATTTCTCTGGTCTCATTTTAAGATAAGCTTTCTTAAAGTCAAGAAATTGGACAAAAAGAATATGAATGATGAAAGAGCCAGTGGGCAAAGGTGTGCATTGCCCAAGCATTCTGAGGGCGAGCTTAGAGATGAAAAGCTTACAACACCTGAAGATGAGAGCGGCAGAGACTACAGGGAGAGGGAACAGGGTTGTTAATGCAATCAAGAGCACAGGCTTGGGGAAAGAGAGGCCGAAGCGACAAGACAGTGCCTTAGGCAGATGTGTTGGGACAAAGAGGCTTGTAATAGGAAGGAAGAAGAAATGGAAAAAGAGAAAAAAGCACATCAGGATAAAAGAAAGAAACCTGAAAGTACAGAATCAATAGGCAGCATGGAAAAAACTGAAAAGGAAGAGGACACAGTTGAAAGAGATGGCCTGAGAAACAAGGATCGCCCAGCAGTGCAGCTTTCCCAGCCAGGAGCTCAAAGCGGAAACCAACTCTGGTCCCCTGAGGACAGCACCAAGTCTGGAGTTTCTGCACCAGAAAGAAAAGTGGGAATGTGGTATTAGCCATACAAGAGGAGAAGAGAGGAGAGGAGAGGAGAGGAGTGATAAATTCAAATGGCCTTAGGTGTCCTGACTGTGTAGGCAGCCAAAGAGCACGTATTAAGCAATGCAGAAATGCCTTCAAGGCAGGGGAATAGAGAAAAAGGGAGCCACTGTCCAGGTAGAGTGCCCTGCAGAGGAGTATATTTTTGTGTGTCAAAGGAAGAACCTGATTGCAGGTTCAGGGTAGAAGTACAGTTTAATTTTTTATGCAATTCCTACAAATTAATTTTAAAGTGTCAGACAAAGATAAGGGAGAGGACGTGCATTGCAATTTGCAGGAGGAAAGTGTCAAGAGATGACTTCATTAGGTATGACACAAGAAGAAAACAAGAGAGCTGGCTCTAAAAATCAAAGGTTTTGTTAATCCCAGATTGAGTTTTCTTAATCTGAATGGAGCAGAGTCAGTTTGAAGTCTTGTTCGTATCTAGTTATAGTCATTGTTGGTGATAACTGCTGACTGTACTGCAGAGGCATCAAGCAGGTACTGTGGTACAAGTATCATGAAGAAAAGAACAAATTTTTGCTTATGCAGAATTTAAATAGTCATTTCTATATCCTGTGTCCTAAAGTTTAGTTTTAGTTTTTTGTTTGCTTACATGAGCTTAGCTTAAAGAGTAATTTAAAACATCTTTTTACCTTTAGCAATTTTTATATTAATCAAAATTTAACCCTTGTCTGGTTACTTGACAATCCAGTGTTTGTTTTATCTTAGGTCTCTTGGTCTGAGTGCAGACTCTCTCCAGGAAAAAGAAAAAATTGCATGAATATTTGTACCTATTAAATAGCAACTTTTAGTCTTAACTTGTTTTGCATTGATAGCAATAAGCATCACCATGGCTAAAAAAAAAAAGCTTTCTATAGCTATACTTACGGATTATATGGAATACTATTTTTTGGTATAAATATAACTTTAAAAATAAGGATAAATACATTTTTTAAATATAATTATATAGAAATACTACAGAGGTTTTTATTCAACAAAAAGTTATTGAGAGCCAACTGTTGTTCTAGACCCTAGACATACATGGTAACTAGGACAGTGCACTGGCTCTGAAGAGCTTGCATTCTCCTAGAGAAGACTGAATGTAATATACGAATATCAGATAGTGCTAGTTTGGCAGAGAAA